TGTATGGTTATATCAAGGAATTCAATTTTTACTCTACTGATCCTCATGTATCACAGGACACAATGGTCGCACTGCACGCCCTAACTGACTATGCCCGACGTACACATGCTTCCGGTTTCCAAGTTGAGGTTGACATCAAGAGCGGAAGTGACAACCAGCACATATCTGTGACTGACAGCAACGCACTCGTTTTGCAATCAAGAGAGGTAGATTCAAAACCGGAATATATCTATAATGTTAAAGAGGTGACATGTAAAGGTATTGTTCTAATCCAAATTGTAATGGATTTGTACTAAATTGTGAAAGAGACTTAACTTAGCATTTATGCTGCGTATTTCTACTCTGAAGCTCGTTCTTTAAAATGTTTGCTTATGGTTTGTTTCCAGCTGACGAAATTTCCAAATGAGGTGTCTATTACGGCTACTGGTAATGGTGTTGCATATGCCGATGTAAGTATGAAGCAATGGATTAAGCACAGTGCTCTGACTATAAGTAAGTCAATGCCTGAATCTGTTTACTCGAATGCTGAATAACAGATAGATCAAATAAGTGAGGAAATCCCTTGAACAATAAATGGTGCATTTCAATACTGACTGTATGCTTTTCCATTCCAGGTAGATGTGTTCTTCAACGTTGATGCTGAAATCGGTGACCCATCCTTTGACATTAACACTGTGCTGCTTGATGACACCATCAACAACTTCAGACTGATGACCTGCACTAAGTGAGAACACAATTAATAACACTATTTCAGTCATGTAAGTGATATCTGTTAATAATGATATCTTTTTCTGTCTTGACATGTAACAGTATTTGGATTATGAAAGTAGAACAGTGCGTTGATGGGCTTCAAATGAATTTGAAATCTATGTCTTTTTGACCAGTCTTTTTGCCTCTGAAAAAATATGCGTTTTTCCTCTTTTTCCCCCTCAAGATGGCTGAAGGAGGGATCCAGTGGAATGACAGTGATGGAGATATCTATCCCATCAGGCTTTGATCCAGATATGACCTCAATGGGCAACGTTGCTGGTCTGAAGAGATTTGAAAGACGTGGTAGAAACGTAGTTGTATACTTTGATGAGGTGGGTTTGTGACGTTTTGACTTCAGTTCCAAGGTTCTTAAATTAAAAGTTATACCATAGTGTTTTACCCATAAATTTACTTACATGCGGAATGGAATCTAATAGAGCATGGGTTATGGTCAGTCTGTGAAATGAGTAATTTCGTGATATGACTGAGGGATATGAGACGTTCAGTCTTGTCGTAAAATGACATCGGGGCTTATGTTTACATGAAAAGTGATATCGTCTGTTTTTAATTTTACTTCAGTCAAAAAGCTTAATCCATCTCTATTCAAATAGCTCGCTGATAACTTCAGTTAGTCTAATCCTTTTCCTTTGGCCAATAACATTTCCATTGTACTAAAAGCAATACAACATCACTTCATGGTCAAAAGCTAGTGTTCAGTGTCTTATACCCTAAAACTATATATAGCATAGTCAACACAACAGTCACAGCTATTTTCCCATTTAAACCATACGGAATTTGTTCTGACAATAGCCAATATCGGGTATTCTTTTGTATTGTCGTATAATGACATCAGGGCTTATCATTACATAAAAAGTGATATCGTCTGTTTTAAATAACTCCCGTCAAAAAGCTTAATCCATGTCTGTCAAATAGCTCGCTGGTTACTTCACTTAGTCTAATCCTTTCCCTTTGGCATTTGAACTTTTCCATTGTACCAAAAACAGTACCAAATCTGGACATCGCTTCATGTTTAATAGCTAGTGTTCATTGTTTCGAACTCTAAAATGTAAGTATAAAATATTCAACACTACAGTCACAACTATTTTCTGCTTTACACCATATAGAATATATTTCTGAGTATAGCGAATATCGGGTATCTTTTGTATTGACTTTTAAATCATTTTGTATGGAAAATGAAATCTAATAGTACATACACAATGTACATTCATTTTTCCAAAGATTGGCACAACGTCCATCTGCTTTGACATCCTGTCCACCAGAACCGGCATGGTGACGAACAACCAGCCCAGCTACGTCACAGTCTACGATTACTACCAGCCCAGTGAGTATGAAATTCATACGTGAAGGGTTGATAACGTCTGTAACTTTGACCCGTGTTGCTGTATGTGAATTACGCAGGAGCAATAACACAGAAATGGCCTAGCAGTTGTAAACGGATCAAAATTGCTTGTCGGTTATACGGGCATGTATCTATAACAATATATCTTATAGTTATATTTTTACTTATCAAGAGTTTGTTGCAGATATTTGACGTTATCCTTCTTTGTAGGTAACCAAGGTGCCACTTTCTACGAAACCCGCAGTCTCAAGGAAGCTACGATTTGTGATGTGTGTGACAAGTGTTGCAACCAGGTCGGTGAATGAGTTACCATTTCCGTAAATGTATATTCTATTACGTTCATGCATATGTCCTAAGTGACTTATCAAACTGCCGTTTACAGATATCAATTGCATACATGTCAGTCAATATTTTACACCTTTCCTTCTTTTGATTGTTGAACACGAATGTTATTAGGATCTCTTTTGTATCATTTGAATTATCTTTTCAGATTTGAAGACAACTGTGAAGAGGAAAAGAGAAACATTAAAATTCTTATGCAAAATGTGAATAAATAATTCCATCAACGCTTGGGTGTTTTAGATTTTTTTTAATGATAAAGAATAAAAGGTGGAATACGGTTCAAGATTCCTCAAGTTGTATTTGGAGTGGATGTTTGAAGATTCAGAGTGACAAGGAACTATGTACATTACTGTGTCAATGACAATAGGGGTGATGTGAACGTTTCCTTGATCAACTTTCCCTTTACGATGAGCAATATTCCAAAGTTCCAGCCTTTAGTGTCTGCCTGTCATACATACTGAAGTAAAACTGAGCATGCTCTTTCAGCAAAGCAATATGGTAGAAATATTGAAGACATTTAGAGATTTGACAATACAGATTTCTAATGTAATATTATTGGATCACAAATCTAACATATTGGGTCACAGATATAGAATAATAACTAAATGTCTACCACAGTCTTGATTCTTGTTCTCGAGAATCCTAGCAGCAGCTATGCCTCACTGCGGCCATTTAGATCACACTATCATGTAGAACTCACTCGAATGAATGCCACAGTCTTACGCCGAAGCAGCAAACCGGAAGCATAACTAAGAGGAGGTAGCTCCCAAAAGCATACTCTGCGCTATAAACTCCATAATAATGAAGTTAATCAATGTGAATTCGTAATTAACAAAAACACACTCTCATAACATAAGTAATTACTTACTTATGTTATGAGAGTGTGTTTTTGTTAGAATAAATAGTACAAAGATTAAAGAAAAAGAGAACTGATGGAAATTTGAAGCCATCCGTCTTGTCCTTTAATCAACCTTATTATTATTATTATTATTATTATTATTATTATTATATTATTGTCTCCTGAAAGAGAAAACGTCTACCCACACACCTCACAATCGGTACAACAAAGACCCTTCTTTACACAATGTGGAGCTGGATTCGCACAGTCAAACTTATACCACACACACCATGATCCAGCCGCCACCAACGCTGTTATAAGGTCTCAAAAGACATTGGTTTAACGTTCATTTTGACCTCGCAAGATACGGCCATGCCTATGAAGGATGTGCAAAGTAAAGCAGGACCAGGGATGGTTATCCGAGTTTCTATGATTTTTTAAACACACTTGATGTCTGTTGGCAAACTGGCGATTTGAACGGGGCGGGCCATTCGAATATGGAGATGATCATGAGCGGTTTATCAAAATGTCGAAATCAGGAATGGTTTCCGTACTCATGTGAATGGAGCTTCTGCGTGTGGCAAACTTTATTATTAGTATTAAGCTTTACAGACATACGATGTTTGTCTACAAGACTTTATCGTGATCTAATATTTAATATTAAGTATGGCCTTTTTCTTGTTGAAAATATATTTGTCTTTCTGGGACGTTTTTTTAAACCTGGCACAGTTGTAGTTAGTATGTTAGATATATGTGTGTAAGAAAATCAAAGCTATTTAAACGAACACAACCATGACTACATAAATAGCTATTGTAACAATTGCATCATATATTTGTTATTCTCGCCACTCTGATTAATACACACCAAACAGAAATATCTTCTCTGACCTTTTGACACAAACGGACAGATTATTTAACTTTTTTACCAGCTTTTACACCTGAAGATCTTTGCGAACCATCTCGAAGTTTGATATGCGAGTAAATGAATGAGTGTGTTACAAAAGCACGAAGTGATACAGATAGTAGATCGGTGCGAACGTGTCAAACAGATTAATCTTCACACTGTTAACTTCGGCTCCTCAGACGGTGGGACACCAGTACTTCAAGCTGAGTGTACCAGGAAGACGACAGTATGAATTGTCATCATGTAATTGTCACTCTATCAATTGGACAGTATGACAAAAGAAAGAGTAAAAACACAGATATTCCAATATTTAGATCTGCACCCATCATGGTGACCGGTCAAAAGAATATGACGAATGTTTATTTTCATCGTGCATAGTCGTAATAGGTTTTAGTGAAGCTTTCAAATCGTTAAGGGTAGACATGCGTCAATGTACACACCCATTTCACACTGCAAAATCACTCATTGCATCCGTAGTTTGAGCGATACAGGGTACCAACGCATGATCATTTGTACGTACGATGATTGTGATTGTACGAATGTTTGCTGATTTTGGATACATTGCATCGTCTCAGCATGTTAAATATACTCATGTAAACTACTGACAATAAAATACCTTCCAGAATCACTCTGATGCATTTTTAATATATTCACTAAAGTAACTGTGTAACTGCCAGATGTTAAGTCTAATTAAGCTTTGGTGATTGTTTGTGAACCCATATTTAGCAAATACGCCTACTTGAACAGATAAGAGAGATAATTCCCAGGTATATGTAGTGGGAAGAGATAATCGCCTGACAGACACAGGGTCTCCTCAGCAGTACGCTAAACGCGGTCCGGTAAGTTGGCGAAACACCATCATTGTTTATCTCAGCTGGCTGAGTAAATGTATATCAGCAAACATACAGTGAAGCTACGTATGGGTTCTAAATTTGATTCCGAGCATGTTGCCGAGGTTTAGTATTTCCAAACCTAACGCAAAATGGTGGCAAAAAAGGTCTCGATGTACATTAGGTACGTTCTTACTCTTCGTTGTTGACCACATTCAAGCACCCTACTTTGTGTCCTCTATTTTTCTGTGACTATAACCCTTGGTATGGGCATATTTCAATTAATGTGATTAATTCATCAAATTCGTCATTTAAAGCAGACTATTTCCTGACACTTCCAAATGTGTGAAACATTATCTGAAAGGATAATTGAACTCAGCGATGACAATTGTCCGAACAAAGGAAAACCATGCCCTGCACTGCTGTGGCAACCGCGAAATGTTCATATTAAAGTAAGTATATGTTTATGATCGTACTATGCTGCACAGCAGTACTTCTGCCAGTGAATGGCAACCGCTAAATCATCGCATCTAAGTAAAGGAATTTAAGAACACGAAATAAAAACACATCCATTTTCCGGTTTTAACGTTAAAACCAGTATTCATCTTCATTTCTGTAGTTTTGTTTAAAGCATCAAAACTGTAACTTGTTCAGCAAGTAATAGTAACGATATGGTATGTTACGTAATGTACACTGCAAAGGCAGAACAAAGAGCCATGATCCCAGTGCTGATAAGGACTTGTGCATGGTGCAATCTGTTCTTCCGATTACAGAGAAAAATGGATTTCCACTCAACTGTTCTTGTGTTTTTAGATATTTTAAAATATATATTGTTCCAGGAAATACAGGTAAAAACCTTTAATTCTATTATACAATGTGTCATAGCGTATCCTGTCAGAATTTGTTTTGCAGGAATATCAAATGATCGCCACAATGTCCAATGTTTCAAAATTACATCGGTTCTAATGACTGCATAATGTGTTTGTATATTTTTAGTTAACGCCGCACTCAGTAATACTGAAGCTACATGCCGGCTTTATGTAAATAATATTGTCTGAACAAAACAAAGCCAATGTTCAATATCATGAGCATCGACGAGGGCAAGTGCAGGGGCGGATACAGCTTTTTAAGAAGCTTTTTTACCCACATAATAAAACTATCTTCGGCACCAAACATAATATCTGAGGATGGTCAAGACAAGGTATTCACCTGCAAACCGACAAATACGCTTTCCTCCAAAGTAATCGTAACGCCACTTAAATATTTTAAAACAACGTCATCTCCCTGTCGCCCTTCGTGAGCAAACTGCAGGGAATATTATTTTACGGCCTTCTTAGCTCTATCTCGTATACACCAAAACGGCCTGATAGACCTCTGATTTATCCGCGATCCCCTGCACCGCCACCCTCTCTGGATCCGCCTTTGAAGTGGGATACAATGCCATGATCACGTTAGGCGCTTACGACACCGTGGATTGCCAAACAAATGTTCTTATCTGGATCTTCACATTCACCTAAACCAGTCAATGACATAATTTACCCTTTTTTAAGATGCACTTTCGGTCAATTTTAACATGACAACTTAGGTCAGAGATAGTAATCGGTCAAGAGGCTACCAACTGGAGAGATTTATTTTCAGGTTTTGTGCAGTTGTTATTTTATCAATGCACATCGACCCTGACCTTCATGCCCGAAGAATACTGCCGCTTTGGCTGGGTCGGCTGTCTTATCGTGTACTACCTTATCCTCTGTCTGTGCGGGTACTATTGAGACATTGATGCTGTAATACCGACCTATCTTATAATGTTCAGAATTAATGGATATTTATCTGTTTTCAATTTTCAGCATCATCATGCTGTGGCTTCTGTTTGTAGTCGGAATAGGATTCACCACGGCCGACAGGTTTGTTCGTTTGTTTGTTGTCTAATACCGTACACACCAATGTACCAGCTCTACGAGGATGGTCTGTGTATAATACACTCGGGACCAGACAATCAATGACTAACATCAGGAGTAGCGCCTATTCAGTTTCTGTTAACATAATGGTTCACTTTTACTGCTGTTCTAGTTCGCGAGGGTCGTATCTCATAACGTTCTCCAAGTATCTGCAACGTGGAATGCCATTCAACGTCAGTATCGACATCCTCAATACTACCAACATCGTCCATGTACAGGTGGAACTGCAACTTATAGGGAAAAACAACATAACTTGGGCCAAAGGTAACTTTACTAAAGGTGAGACATCATACAGAGGTAACTGTGGTTGATTCTAGTGTGGCAATGCAAGCTATCCTTTGAAGCAAAACTGGCTGAAGATCGTTCGCAGTTTAGTCAGTTATCAGTAGTGTTTTGTCTGTTGTACACATCTCTCATCAGAGGCCACTGCCCTTCACACTCTGGAACATTCCAACCATTCATGAAACTCCAATTTACCAAGACTTTCTAACGGATTTGAAAACATTTTTGTAGTTAGTGTCATGTTTATTCAAATTCCTATGGAGTCATCCATACAGGTTTTTGATAATTCAGTGGTTCTAACCGATTTTCAAGATGGCCGCCATGGCCGCCATATTGAAAACATGTCTATAGTGGGTTTCGTGTTTTTTTATCCAATTCCTAATCCCTCATAAAGGTTTTACAGAATTCAGTAAACCCAAAACTGAATATTCGTTAGGTGCTCTTCCGAGGAATGTGGAAAGGCATTCTCCGAGTTTTTATCTTCACAAGTAAGTAAGTGCCATCATACGGTTAATGAGACTGCATTGAGGCCTTGTATGTCTTTGAGAATATAAGTACAATGTGGAACGCCCATTTGTGTTGTCCCCTTCGTGATATTGCCGGAATAAAAGCGGCGTAAAACCAAATTCACTCACTCACTCTTTGAGAATTCTTAGTGACATATTTATATTGTTATTAATATTACAAACAGGAAAAAATGGAAAAATGTTTTGGTGTTTATAGTGAAGAAAGGCTTTGCAGTGAAACGTGTACCAATTTTTCTGTTTTAACCAGATAGGATGGAATTCGTACGTAAAAAGTTATGTAGCTACTCTAACGATCAAACCAAAACTGTTGGACATTCTGGTATTGTAATGATGTAAGCTCCCTCTGGATTCAGATCAAAAACTTGTTAGAAGATGATGCACGGGAATTGTTTACTCGTGGGATCCACAGTACTGGGATCCACAAACCTAAATCTATTGACCTTTTAATAGGTTTAGAATCAAACCAAAAATATAACACGTTTTAACGATTATAAATTAATTTCTGTTAACATTTTACAGATAACATCGCTAACTTAAACTATTTTCAAATATCAGACGAGAGGTACAGATTGGTTTGCTCCTTGGTTCATGGTGTTACTTGTAGGACTGAACATGTATAACGTGTTACACCGTTCAAATTTGTACTTTGACCGTGCTAGTAAATACTGTCGACTGTATATGTTCCTTTGAAACTAACTGACTGACACATCAGTGATGTATCATCACTTCTACCAACTTGTATTTCAGGAACGACTGGGACGTTATCACTGAATGTAAGTATATATAACCAGTCAGTGTTCTAGATCAATGAAACCTTCCAACAACAAAGAACTGTTGGACAATTAACTACTGTATTCTAAAATGAACTAACTGCACAACTTAGTATAATTTACTGTAAAAGAATTACAATGACAATACAAATGTAATGACACTATGATATAAAGGAGTGATTATAGCAATAAAGTGATAATAAATCCTAAGTGAAAAGTAATCTCTAGACAACTGCTGATCTTGATTTAATGTCAGATGACAGATGACACATGTGAGTGTGTGCCCCTTACTTATATAATGTAATATGTAATACACTAGCAACATTTTATTACCATGAATACCACTGCCAACATGAGCGAAACCAAATAAATGTCTTAGTCTTCATCTTCACGTACATATCAATCAGTATATTCTGTCTTCAGGTGCCACGTGACATCACTGATGGACAGTACGGTCTCCATGTCCGAGGTAGCAGGGCTCTGCAGTTTGAACGATACACGTATCTCACACCCCGTTCCAAATATATTTCTGTCATGGTACAGACTGACAAGGCCATATACAAGCCAGGACAGATGGGTGAGCTGAAAATGGATGTGATATGCTGTGATAAAGTCATCAGTTTCTTTGCCTTTTTACTATATTAAAGGTCACATGCAACCAAAAAATCAAACATAATTAAAACACAATTATCACTTCTTCATGACATATAATATGCATTGCTAATTATGAAAAGACAAATAAACAAAATTATAAGCGTATAATCGCAAATCAAAAGTGCAATATTTTGTACTTAGGTTTACCTCCCTCGAAACGAAGCAGCCGGGATACCGAACCCAATCAGAGCGGGTGGGTGTGCACTCAAGTGTAACGGCAGGTTCATTTGCAGATGCCGCTCTCATGCACGGCTCATTGTGTGTGTATATAAAGAGATGTTGAGTTTTGTAAATACATGCTCATTTTTGTGTATAACATTTTGCAATAAACAGACATCATAACATGTCACGTGTTCAAGTATCACACCTGCCTGTCTGTGTAATAACATAATGTGACAGAGACCGAACTCGGGCCATAATTCAATGCGTTTTGTTTATGGTGTATAGCCTGATTGGTGTTAAGTTTAAATTGCATGTGGTCAGTGATCGCAGTTGTGTATTGAATATTGTCATTAGCAGACAGGCAGGCAGACACACAGGTGTCAATAAAACAAGACATTGAGTTTTGTCTGTGACAACGATATATCTATATCACAGTTAGAAATTGTGTGAACGCTAAATAATGACATTGCTTTTAAGTATCGAACTGAGAAAGTGACTCGGTAAGAAGAACGTGTGGTGAAATAGACAAATGAAATTATATAAACTGTTAATTTACTGTCATAACATATAAAAAGCTCGCGCCTGTGAGATATCAACAAAACATTAGAAAAATAGCTCACACCAAAGCCTTCACCGAGTATTCACCCGACAACCCGCTTCCAAGCTGCGCGAACCTATTTACTTGCGCACGTGCTATGAGCGCAGCCCAGCTGTTGAAACCCGTATTCCCCAGAAAAGTCTGGGGAAAATTAGTGAAACGTTTGAACTCCGATTTCGCGCGGTTTTTTTCATCGCGTTATTTTTCAACTTGCATTTTTGACGATTTGTTTCGCTATGTCCATACCGAAAGGTATCAGAATCTGCAAAGTTGTGTTTTACGTTGCATGTGACCTTTAAGCTATTTTACTCTAAAGAAGACATTTTGCTTCAATAAAGTTGTGTAACTGGCGAATCATTTGTTTTGCCTTGGCTTCAGTGTTGGATATATGTTGGATAGTGTTGGATATACACTATTTCAGTTGTTGGAACTAGGCAGGCATGTTGTCAACAATCTATATTTCCTTAATATTAATAAAAACCTGAACAAGTGATTATACTTTCTCTGCTGCAGTTCATTTCCGAGCGTTTGGTGTGTACCCAAGTTTGCAAGTGTACACGGGGAGTTTCGACATATCCCTTGTTGTAAGTTTGCAATACAATGTCATAACTTGCACATACAGTGTAATCATGCAATAAAACGGGAAAACTGCATACACCTTACAATGGTTGTTGCGGTTTAATATTCTGGATCATTTTTTTCCGAAATATATCATTTTGTCAGTGAATTGTAAGTGCACATGACAAAGATAAAGAACTACTATTCTATTGTACAGGATCCAAACAACAACATCCTGAAGGAGTGGGCGGCTCTCCATGAATCTTCTGGAGTTGTGGCTGGGGAGTTCCAGCTGGCAGATAAGACTGTTTTCGGAGACTGGGCTCTACGAGTATCACCTGCAGTTGGTTATATTCATCAATTTTAGACAGACCTTATGTTCCTACCCTAGATATATGTAGGATTCTGTGACTGGTTACTTTTGTAGTGATTGGTCATTTCGAATTTGAAACCTTCTTAGTTCAAATCTTGGAAAGTTCACCCCTGTAACCGTAGATTATGCAATCCCCCAAACATCGAAACATTAATTTTGCCTACAACATCCCAGAAATTGTTCTTCTCTACACACTGGTTCATTTGCCGTATCTAAATTTTGAACATACATGCTCAAACACTAATAGCGTCACGGGAACAATATCAATGATACATCTCAATTCTTTCTTAATGTCTATGAATTGTCCTCCAGAATAAACAAACATACCTTTAATTGTCATTTGTAGAATTTCAAAGAGATGTTGCTATGCTGCGAACATGGCTAAGAAGGGGAAGTAGTGTGAGAGCAACATTTTCATGACTGTTTGTGTGAGGATTAGTAAAATATATTTAAAGGTCTTTTGAACGAGCCTCGAGTGGTCAGCTATTTAATTCTGAAGTCATCCTTGGTTGTGTAGATCCCAGGTCCAGTGGCTGACATAGAAATGCGTTGGTCCACAGAACTTTGAAGATGAAAAGTTTCTTCAGATGACCATACATGACTTATTCAGTGTCAACAATGCATCAGAATTTTGAAAATGACATTCAAGAATGTTTTATTAATTTTCATGGCATTATATTACATATCCGCGAAGATTCGTGTTAGAATTGATCTTCAGTAACCCATGCTTGTTGTAAGAGGTGAGTAGGAGGACGAGGTGATCAGGCTCGCTGACTTGGTTTACTCATGTTATATATCACATTTGCGAAGATCGATGCTCCCGATGTCATTGTCTGGTCCTGACAACATTATTTACAGAATGACTTTATACTGCACGGATATTGTTGAATGCGGCGTTAAACATATATGTACAAGCCACGGAAATCACATTCATATTTATATTTGTTTCTTTAATGCAGGACCAAGTAAGCGTAACCTCTAAAACGTTTACAGTTGCGGAATACAGTAAGTATGACTGTATTGTTTTTTTCTGTTAACATTTCCAGCTAATGATTAACTGAGGCACAGTTCAGTGCGTGAGTGAGTTAAGATTTAGAGTCACATCGGCAATATTGCAGCCATATCGTGACTATAACAATATATACTTTAATGATAAATAAAGGTATTTCGTAAAATCTGTCAACAAAGGACAGTAAAACAACTGGGTTATCACAGATAGAACTTTAAAACTAGCATGAAAGCATTAAAACATTTATTACAATAGAGGACAATACAATATAAAAATCGGGCTATAGGTCACCAACAACTGAAGGTAGATCAACATACTAGGGACAATAGAGACTTACAGTACTTTTGCTTACTGCATGGGCCCTAGCTGGATTTACATCATTCCTTCAGACGTTGGTGATTTTTGCACAATTTAGCCATACTTTAAAAGAACATATACTACGATTAAAAATCACGGACAATGAAAAATAATTTGAATGAAATGGGACATACCCTCTCCGGTGGACTGACTGACTGACTGAGTTTAGTTTTACGCCGCTTTTAGCAATATTCCAGCAACATCACGGCGGGGGACACCAGAAATGGGCTTCACACATTGTACCCATGTGGGGATTCGAACCCGGGTCTTCGGCGTGACGAGCCAACGCTTAAACCACTAGGCTACCCCATCGCCCCTCTCTCCGGTGGACAGAGTAGTAATACATATGCGCCTATCAGAATAAGACAGGGGATGGAACTGCTTGGAAAACGAAACTTTTCATATATTTAAGCATGTTGTTTTAAGTAAGAGAATAACATTGACATCCAAAGTGATGCTTGTTATCATAAGACCATTTCTTGTTTCAGAACTGCCCCGCTTTGAAGTCAAAGTTGATCTGCCTTCATTCTCCCTGACCTCCGATACAAAGCTGTCTGGAACAGTGAAAGCAAAGTGAGACATTTTATCAAATCAGTATTTGAATTTCCCATCTCTCACAGTACAGCATATTATGGTTGCGTATTGCTCCATACAACCTTGGTTATTGAGGCGCTTAATCTTGCATACCAGGCTGAAACACTGTTATATATGCATTCCTTTTATAGGTACACCTTCGGAAAGCCGGTGAAGGGTATGGTGGAGTTACATACACACATGACCGTCGCTAACGACTACTGTGGAAGACCGCCAAAATATGTTGAAGTGGCATTTCCCCGTAGGTTGACAAACTATGAGATTACCCATATCCCAATTATAATAACAAACGAAATTGGTAACATTTTAGATAAACCCTCTGTTCAAGTGAATGATCCATTTTGCTCTTTGCTTGTGTTACAGAGTACGTATTGCATAAGTTGAAAATATATTTGGAGCCAAAGATAATAAATAAGTAAATATCGATGGGAGAAACAGTCTAGTTATATCCTGATGAAATTGTCAAAATACCTGCACAACTAATTTTTTTTTTAAAGAACAAATAAACTTTGGGTTTTTTTGTACTCTTGTAACCATTAAATATGAAAGATTTGTGGTTAGTCTTATGCGGAACACCAAATTATTGTGGTTAATTAATACCGAGCGATTAAAAGTTGCCCAAAAGTCGCCTGCTTCACTCTCGCCCGCAAACGAAACCGCAGACAGGTTACGTAACTCCTGTTACGTATCGCCAGAGCACTGCAGTGACGTCATGTGAGGAAGGATTTTCAGTTAGTTGTATATAAAGTGTGTAGCAAGCTCGTCATTTTGATGATTTCTCGACATCAACGAAGACATGCCGAATCGTTGCGTTGTCAATTGCTCCTATGGGTCGGGCGATGGTGTCACCATGCACAGATTTCCACAGGACCCCGCAGTTCGTGCTGAATGGGTTATGTTAGGGAGTGCGAAGCGAGCGTTGCGGAAGCCTGGAACGATATCTTACTTGTGTTCAGATCGCTTCACGGAAGTTAAAGAATCAAAACTACCTACTAGTTGTAGTAAAATATGTACATGATTGATGACCAAAAAGATTTTCCATGACACAACTTCTAACATAACTATTTCTTCCTCGGAAGCGAGGTTGTGGTCGAAGTGACAATAATATTGTAAGTAGTATTATATTGACACCAACCTCGCTTCCACGAGAGAAATTGTTATGTTATAAGCTATGTCATGCAAAATCCTATTGGCCATCAATCAAATACATATTTTACTACCAGTAGAAAGTAGTTTTGATTTTGTAACTCGGTGAAAACAAACCTAAATAGCATTTATCCTCAGACTGTCGGATGTTCGCGACAGAGAGCCGCCATTTTTTGAAAATCGTGAAGTCACGGGCTAAAATCTGCTAGAATTAATGAGATTATGGTTTCTTTTCATCAAGTTAGAAAATCAAAACTACTTTCTACTCGTAGTTAAATATGTATTTGAATCACGACCAAAAGGATTTTGCATGACACAACTTGTAACATAACGATTTCTTCCACGGAAGAGAGGTGAGGGTCGAAGTAACAATACTGCGCGATACATTTCTTGCTACATTCACGTGGTGAAAACATCCACTGACTAGTAGGTAGATACCAGTCAATGTACGTCTTTATATTTGGTCTTATAATCCTCAATAGTTTATGATCATACTTGTATGCATTTTGAAACTGAATAAAAAGCAGGCGATCTGGTGATACTTATAGTGAATTTATAACAGGACTGTAATAGCTAGACATTTTATAGTTTGCCAATGTGAATCATAATTCGCACACACGCCCTAGTGTATGTTGTCTGTCTCATTACACTTCACGGAGAAAAAACATTGATTCTGTTGAATGCTACAACAAATGAATAAAAACAAAATGCAAATATCAAAATTAAAACAGATTAAAGTTATAGGAACAATGTCATGCTATTACCTTGTTCGAGGAATGTATCCATCAATATCCACAAAAACGAGTGATATGCCATTCATCTGCAGCTGTTCCAAGTGATGTGTCTTTGAACAGTCTAATATACGAACAAGTGATATATCGTTTCAGGTATTTCACATTGGTGTATAGTCTCATTGGTCACCCAAGATAGTACACCTGGCAATTCATTGCAAAATGTCCGCCATTCTTTAAAAACAAAATTAGCCAATAATGAGCAATCATTCAATGTATTGGCGGTTAATCCTTTGAAAGAAGGGCGTTGTTTTTACACAGACACAGACAGGACAGAGTGTATTTTAGTTTAACGATATTTTATTCACAATGTGAAAAGGATCGGGGACAAGTTCTATTAACTTATTAAACCGCTCTCCACAGATATTTACAATAACCAATTACATCACAAGCAATTATTAGAAACAGAGAAAGATTGAAAGATAACAGGGGGAAATGTTATAATACAAAAGGTGTATAGAGAGAAGTCTACTGGAATCGTTTTAGATTTGCATATATACTGATGTGCATTTTTTAATATAATTTCATTTTTATGATTTGTCAGATCTGCAATGCCGTTTAAAATAATAGATAATGTAATCACAGAATTACTACCACATACATCTTGAATAGCTTTAAGCATGATCTTTCTATGTTGACTGTATAAAGAACATTCTAAGAAATAGTGATGACCATTTTCGCACGGGTTTCCACATGCGCAGGATGGATCAGTGATTAGCCCTACTCTGTACAGATCCCGATCGTAACTTAATCCACTAGCTCCATGACGTAGTTGAGTGTACTCAGTATTGATTAGTAAATCTACATAAATAAACACTACCTTTTGACAAAGCCGCTGTGCAAGATAAAAGTAATTAGTCAATCAGCGTGTTATCGGTTAATCCTTTGATCCTTGTTTATAATGTTGAGTATATACTCCAGACACAAAGAAGTCCACATGGGAACCTTTGTCGGGTAATCTAAGTGGTGTTACCACTAATTATACCTGTTATAAATTCATTAACTGACCATCAAGTGAATGATGACAAATAACATGTGTAGGTTTATACCACCTAACACGGGTTACAACAAGGGAGTATTAATTGCTGCATTGCATGCAATTTTAATTGCATGTGAAAACTTATGGGCCGACACTGTTTGAGAATACGAATAGAACTTCATTGTTGCATAAGAAATACATATAAGCATTTGCTGCGTGCTAAAACTGTATGTACCTATTTACCTAAGTAAATTTTCAGATTCTTCTAGCAAAGGCAAAGAAGGGTTGTTTAGTTTACGGATTCAAATACATCAGATGTAAATTTTAATATCATACGTAATAGACGTCATAGTTTTACATGACATGATTAAATATCGAGGTTTAAAAAACACAGAAATGGGATCAATTTGGATCAGTCATTATACCATCCAGGCATTAGAAAACTGAAAAAGCTCACACAGTTTAATTACTTTATTACAATCAGACAAGAACTACCGGGGATATTTTCAAATAACTGCATCTCATGGGCATATCACCCTTCTTAATGTCGCACTGAAAAGGTTGAAGAAATTAACCGTAACTGTGATGAGCGAGGCTGATCATCGTTTTCACTATCACTGGCGTCTGGCGCGAACAAATAAGGCCTAGCGACAACAAGCAATTTTGACAGAATCGTCTATGAAAATAAGTTGTAACTCGGAAACTAGGCAAAGCAGGAGACAAAATTAATGACAGTAGATTGTGAGAACGTATAGCCTTCATTTTTCACAACAGTTGTCACGATTTCAGGTTTATACAAACCTGTAAACAAGATAATTTACCCCCTGAAATGTACATGAATTCTGCATCGGCCCTCATATCTATTCCTCACATGACGTCACAGAGACGCACCGCTCTGATTGGTTGAAATTTCGGTGAGAATTGTGCACTGTTGTCAAAAGGTCAATTTAAGTTAATTTTAATTAGTGATTTATATATTTGTACCCCCCTAGAGTATATGTGATCTTTAAAAACGCCACGCATCTAAAACGTTGCATACATCTTCCCTGCGAAAAGGACAATATCAATCTCAAAAGTTTTATCGACAAGACAGAATCATTAATCATATATTGTATTTGTTCAAAATCAACAGATTGATGGGGAAGCCAAATTTGACATTCCTGTTGCCGACATCAAGCGTCTCCAGAGCAATCTAAATGAACAAACCGTCGTTGTTGTCGCCATCGTGAAGGAGGAGTTGACGGGCGTGAGGCTGAACGGGTCCAGCTCAGTGAAATACCACCAATACCCCTACAAGATTGAAGTCCTCAATTCAAGTCCGAAAACATTCTCACCCAAACTTCCATATACAGCATATGTGAGTTGAAATATGATAGCATACCTACAAAGTGACGATTGAAAGTCCTCGAAACCTTTAAATACTTCACTTTTAGATGTAAGTTATACAATATATTATATTTAGCTCTATTTTCAATGTCCACATTACACAACAGATCAAGGTGTCCCAACAAGATGGCCGCCCTGTGACCGACCTCAGCAGTCCTGTGGGAGTGTACACCTGTGTCACATACCGTATTGTCCGAGATGACCAGTCCGAGTTCTCCTGCTCATCCTTCACCGGCAACTACGGCCTCCCATCCAAAAACTACACCATCCCTGCCTCCGGCATCATCCCCGTGGATTTGCGCATCCCTGAGAACACCACTAGAATTAGCGTCAAGGTTGGATATGAAAACATAACTAAATATCTTTTGGTTATAATTACAATGCCCATAAATATAATTATCCACCCCCAGTTACTTGCCATATGTTGCATTTGATTGTTGACAATTGCATGATCGCAACCAGAATTGAAATGTGATGTACTTGATGTTTTCTGTCATAAATGCTCACAACAATGTTCATTTCAGGTTCACTACAATGAGGCATCCGACACTTTATCTGTCCAGCAGAAAATGTCCTTCAGTGGCAACTTCATGCAGCTCACACTCACCAGCAAGGGACTCAGGGTAGGCAACATTACACTATAAGTATGCATGAACTTTTAATGTGAAATACGAACTTAACTGGGGTTAATATAATTTAACAAGGGCTTGATTAATTGTCGACGTTTTTCTCAGTTTCTTGTAATTTATTAAAATATGCAATGTTGCAAAATGTCTTGGATTTGTTTAAGGCGGGCCAGACGGCTATGTTCAGCATTGAGATGACAGAAGATGTACCTTTCATAACATACCAGGTAATCTGCTGGTAAACAATTACAAAGAGTCTGAATCATTTTAACCTGAATACAGAAGAAAATGAAACAGGATGTGTTTGTGTGGCATTGATCGAACATTCAAACGATGACATATCATTCACGCAGACTTGGACTATAGGTATATCATGTAAAGGTTAATTCTTTTCTGCAATTTTAACAATTCAAATTAACTACGAATACCTTCATATTTCCATCACATGCACATAATTTAAATAACGTAACATCGAAACTCGAAATACAGAAAGTGAGTGAGTGAGTTAAGATTTAAAGTCACATCGGCAATATTTCAGCCATATCGTGACTAAAACAAATTTTATATTCATGATAAATACACATAATTTATAAAGCCCTGTCAACGACGGACAGTAAAATGACTACATTATCACAAAATGGGTTAAAACTAGCTGGCATATATCTTAAAATGTAGACAACTATATTGGACAATACCATGTAAAAATGGGCTATTCATCGCCAACAACTAAAGGTAGATCACCGTACTAGGGTCCATGGAAATACAGAATGTAGTATTTCAATGTCACCTATGGATAGCTGGATTCAGGTCGAGGATATATACTGTCCAATCACATAAGTTTCATTCACAAGTTGTACTTAACAGACTATAGAACAGATATTATGGTCTTTATAGGTGCTATCCCGGGGTACTGTTGTCCTTATTGACCAAGTTGCTGTTGGAGGACAAAACCCTGTTCACTTCAATGTCCCCATATCTGCAGCAATGGCCCCAGAAGCTCACATCATCGCTTACTACGTCAGGAAATCTGGTGATGTTGTTGCTGACAGTCTTAGTTCCAGTGTCGACGAAGTCTTTGACAACAAGGTAAAATGTGGTATTTAGTCAGATAAACAATGGGTGATGAGGTAATCCTCTACTATAACATACTTTCCACTTCATCACTTCAATGTTAACTAATATTGTATTTCAGATGTCCATCCTCAGCTATAACGCATTTTCTTCACATGATCACTTCAAAGTAAACCGAACCTTTATTTCAGGTGTCCATTGACTTCAGCAAGAACGACTCCATGCCTCATGACAACATTGATGTCATGGTTAGCGCTGATCCAATGTCATCTGTCAATGTCCTTGCGGTCGACCAAAGTGTTCTTCTTCTCAAGTCCGGCAATGACATTACCACAGAGCAGGTTAGAGCACGTAGTTTCGTATTTTTGCAACTTTAATTACTAGACATTTTTTTTAAAAGGATCACTGCCTTGCATATATAGATATTATGCATTAGAAAATGCATGAAACATGTGTTGGTGAATGAGTACTGATCAGATTGAAGGACAACCCCAAACAAACCAGCAACACAATGAAATGCTAGCGTATACAAGTAATTACATAAATCAGATTTCACAATGACAATTCTTCTGTAAAAGCAATATGACCATATAGCTATGTTGGTTTTGGAATATTTCAACCAAGTCAGTTTGTCCCTTTGCCCGATGTCAATGCACTGTGCTGATAAATGTGTCTCAGTGCCGGATCACAACACGTTTGGGACATCTGTATGTGGAATTAGTTTGTCGAAGACCAATGTGGCTGTCCTGTACCCTTACAGACAAGGAACCATTCATAGAAGAGACATGTTCTAATTCTTCTTGTGGAGAAGACTTTCACTTTTAGGAAATTTGAAATTTAACACTAGTTATATAAACCAGTAAATGCTTACTTTTCCTGTACAGGTTGCTGATGAACTAAAGACATACAGCTCTAGACAAACTGACACAGAATTTCATGTACCCAGTATGTGTAGTTCTCCACGCCCAGATGATGTCTTCTCGGTACGTGGTAGTTTAGTAACTGTATTTATTTCACGAAATATTTACTTACAATTTTCATGTCTTATCACATTTTTGTTTGTCCTATATGACATATTATGAACATGTTTCATGTCTGTTAGTTAACTTTATCTATAAAATAGATCAAAATCAAGAGTGTATCGTTTTCCATATTTGAAGGAAAATATAAGCCTCATATCTTGAAGTTTCAGATGATTTTCGCAGCGGTCATAATGTATATAGTGAAGCTCCCAGAGAAATTTCAGAGATTTTATCGGCGCAAAATTATGTATGAAGTCTTCATTTATAATTTTAAATTTTTGTGGGGCAATGAAAGTATGATAAGTTGATTATGACATGAAAAGATTTAACAATACAGTTGATTCGAGATTCATGAAATTATGCACAAATAATTGTCCAGAATATATCATTCACTGAAAAATGTACTTTTTAATTTATGTTATTGTCTCGCCTTAGGAAGCAGGACTTAATGTACTCTCTGATGGTATATACTTCAGTGTCCACCATTACGGATATTATGGGTTCGGTAAGTATATTTCATCATTTATGAATGCATAGTCAACGACACATAATTTCGAAGAGAAAAGCAGGCTGAACAAACAGGCTTGGTCAGTAATCAACAGCAGCTCAGCTTGACATTTATACTTATATGAGGCACCCGTGAAGAGCCACGTCCTCGTGGTGGCTGCTAAGAGATCTTCAATCCCCCATGTGGACCCGGGGTATAATTGGTCCACAGCACCCCCATTGCTGGCTTAGACCGAATTGGGCAACCTGTTTGCAGTGGGTTGCGCCCCTGTGTCGGCGAAGGACAGGAGTCTAGTGGTTGAGGGCACTGGAACCAGGACCATGTGTTCCTGTTGCCCAACACACCACTTCGTCTCTTACTTCACCTAGACGGGTGGTTTCACTCGCCTCCGAAACGGTTCACTTTGGTAGAATGTATACGACGATAGCAATCTGCTCATCTGCTGGGATTGCAGCAGTTTGTTAACAAACAGGTCGTTGTCTCGGTTCTACAAGACACTGAACACTTGAAGAGGTATTGTAAGAGACAGGTCGCGTTGCTTATCAGATATGTCTGAAGAAAACGTGATAAAACAAACACTTACCTCTTCACTTTTGGTCTGACTATACTTACTCAATCTATTAAGGCTGGATATTGTAATATCGGAGTGGAGCTATATGGACCAAATCCACTCCGGTGTTATAATTGCCAAAAGTTTCGCCATGGTGCAAGATCATGTACTGGTAAAGTCTATTCGCTCACGCTGCAGTGGAACCCATGACAGTACCGATTGCACTGGTAACATCAAGTGCGCAAATTGCAGTGGTGAGCATCTGGCTTCGTCTAAATCTTGCCCAAAGTTTGAATATGAAAGCCAAATTCTCAAAATCAAATGCGCGAATAACATGTCGTACTTTGAGGCGAAGAAATTAGTTAAGGCTCAGTCAAACTCTTCTATTGGTCAAACATTCGGCGACAGATTCTTCTTCTGTTTCGACATCTATTAAAAAAAAACAGTTTCAACTTCCTGTCAGACTGTCATATCCTGGGTACATGCAACTCCGATTAACTTGAGTGACAATACTTCAATATCACAAGATTGTCAACACTCATCAGCATCCCAGACTGAGGAACCACAGCCAGATGATATTAATTCAACACAGGCAACAGAGAGTGTTGTCCACCTGTCAAATAGGAAAAGATAAAAAATGAGAAGAAAGACCAGAGCTCTTCAACATTTGGAAGAGTCTCCTTCGTCGACACCTCCTGTGACGGTTCAAAATCCATTTGACCTACTTGATATGGAGATCACTCACTCACATACAGGGTGTAGGAACTGCAGTTCCATGCGCTCACGATCTCCAGTTGAACCTCCTTAAATTTGATTTATGAAATTACTACAATGGAACTGCAGAGGCCTTAGGAACATTTTAATGATCTACAATTATTATCGCAAGATATTAAACCATCGGCTTTTAGTTTACAAGAGATATACCTGAAAAGTACTGAGAATTTTGAATAAAGTAACTGGCGGCGCTTCTATTCTCGTGAGGCAAGGTGTTATCCATAGCCCGGTTACTCTTAACAGCAATCTTCAAGCTGTTGCTGTCCGTCTGACTTTACAAATAACCTTTACACTTTGTTCTTTGTATGTTTCTCCGTCTTCAAATCTTCAGAAGTCTGGCCTTCAGGATCTTTTTGACCAGCTTCCTAAACCATTTATAATCATGGGTGATATTAACGGACATAACCCTCTGTGGGGAAGTACCGAAACCAACATTAAATGAAGATTTTTTGAGGACTTCATTTCAAACAATGATGTATGCATATTTAATGATGGATTTGTCACATATTTACTTATTCTTATTCTGAACTCGATCTGTCGATCACAGATCCAAATATTTATAACGAATTCGAATGGTCAGTCCATGATGACCTGTGTGGAAGTGACCATTTCCCCACCATACTTTCAGCTGTAATCCCGAATGATGACCCACCTACAACAAGGTGGAATTTTAATGACGCCATGCTGACAACTTGAAATCAGAATTGTTTGTCAATGCTCCAGATTTGATTCAGCCTAATGGTGAAGATAATAATGAAGTATTTTCACTACATGAGCAGAATACTGCCTTAGCACAAGCTCATGATACGGCAACAGGTGCTGATAATATCCAACATCAGATCCTGAAACATTTACCCAATGCATGTCCTGAAACCCTTCTGATCATTTTTTATAATATTTGGACAACAGGGCATTTTCCTTCTTCGTGGCGTCATGCCATTGTTGTACCAATACCTAAGCCTGGCCGGGATCATGCATGCTTTTTCGACCAAGAAAAAGTTTATGATACAACATGGAAACATGGTATTTTAAGAGATTTACATGACTTCGGTTTGAGGGGCCATTTGCCTCACTTTATATCAAAGTTTTTAGCAGACAGACAATTTCAAGTTCGTGTTGGATCAACCCTGTCTGACCATTATAATCAGGATCAGATGGTTCCACAAGGCAGTATTTTGTCTGTTACTTTGTTTAGCATTAAAATCAATAGTCTCTCAAAAGTATTAAATGACTCAATAGATGGGTCATTGTTTGTGGATGATTTTAACGTTTCATGTCGTGGTAAAAATATGTATACCATCGAGAGACAATTACAGATTTGTTTAAATAAAATTCATAAATGGTCACTTGAGACCATGTATACATTTTTGTCGGAAATATAAGCCTCATAAAGATCCTGAAGTGATCCTGATGGCTCTCCAATTAACGTTGTAAAGGAAGCCGAGTTTCTGGGACTGATTTTCGACAAACATTTGACCTTTTTACCACATATTAAGTACTTGAAGACCAAATGCCTGAAGGCATTAGATCTATTAAAAGTCGTGTCCAATTTAAAGTGGGCAGGGGATCAAACTACCTTCCTTCATTTGTACAGATCACTAATCCGATCCGAATCTTTGATTATGGCTCCATCGTATGGTGGAGCCTGTAAAAGTAACTTTGAAACTACTTGATTCTATCCACCACCAAAGTCTAAGACTTTGTCTTGATCTTTCCGAACTTCTCCTGATGATAGTATGTACGTTGAAGCTGACGAGCCTTCTCTAGACCAACGCCGTATCAAATTATCTTTACAGTATTTTACTAAACTACATTCTACTCAGTCGAACCCTGCTTATGGTTGTGTCTCTTTAATCCTCTTTATGAGGATTTATACAACAAAAAGGCTTCTCTTGTTCCGCCTCTTGGGCTAAAATGAAACCATTCAGATTCCGCTGCAGGCATTGAGCTGGAAAAATATATATTTCCTTCCCGTCTTCTTTCTTCTCCTCCTCAGCAATTGGGTGAGACCAGAAGTTGACCTGACACTGACAACATTTATAGAAGCAGACACTAATGAATTACAATATAAACAAGAGTATAATCAATTAAAAAGTAAACATAATGCATACAACTCCTTATTTACAGATTGATCCAAGGATGGTGGCGCAGTGGCATGTGCCACTGTCATTGGATCCAGAACAATCTCTTCAAGATTACCAGGCAATGGTTCTATTTTCACAGCAGAAGCAAATGCCATATTAACAGCGCTGAAATGTATTAAACATCGTCCTAAATATAATCAATATATCATATTTTCAGACTCTCGTTCTTGCCTTCAGGCTATTTAAAATCTTCTTGCAAACATCCACTTTTAATTGAAATTATTGAATTACATAATGATCGTGCTACTGGCCAATACGACACCGTCCTCTGTTGGTTACCCAGCCAAGTTGGCATTTCTGGTAACACAATGGCCGATCTTGCTGCTAAGGCAGCACTCAACACATCTGTGACACCACTTCTCATTCCGTAATCTGATTACAAAGCAACCATTAGATCGTTCATCCGTGATCTGATGCAGAAGAAGTGGGACACCCAAGTAGGTATTAATACATTACATGAAATAAAACCCTATATTGGTAACACCTATTTGGGTTGTCAGTCCAGATTTGAAGAGGTCATTATGCGACAATGTCGCATTGGCCATACTAGATATACAAACGAATATTTATTGAAAGGCGAAGATCCTCCGTTTTCCTTCCCTTTGTGATGAAAGAATCACGGTCAAGCATGTCTTGCTTGACTGCATTGAATATTCCATCACAAGAGATATCTATTTCAAATCACGAACTATGAAGGATCTTTATTAATAATATTAATTCTCATTTAATTATTGTACTTTTAAAAGAATTAGATTTGTTGAATGATGTAAATAGATCAATATTTCCTTTTTTGGAAGTTTATATTAGTAACTTCGATTGTGTGAGGGTGTATCCTCAAGAGGGTTAAAGTACTGTAAAATCATTGTCCTCCTGAGAGGATACCTAAGTCCCAAAACATTCAAAGTAAATTTAAACTTTCCACGTTTTTAATCGTAGAATACGTGTGCTTTTAATGTATGGCTAGATTTTCTAACTTGCTAACGGCTGAACATATAGTGTAAATCCAGCTAGGGTCCATGCAGGAAGCAAATGTACTGTAAGTCCTCATGGTCCCTAGTATGGTGATCTACCTTTAGTTGTTGGCAATATATAGCCTACTTTTTTACCTTGTATTGTCATCTATAGTTAAACTGTTTTAGATCTAATTACTAGTTTTTTAAATTCGAATCTGTGATAATCTAGCTATTTTACTGTCCTTCGTAGACAGGTTTTACAAGTTAACATCACTTGTTCCCGTCGCGATATTGCTGAAATATTGCCGATGTGACGATGATAAATTTTAATTCACTCACTCACCATACTAATATGCTGTTTATATTCTTTGAGTCCACATTGTTCTGCGATATGTTCTTTGTGTTGTTTCACGCCACATTCATCAATGTTATAAACGCCCTGCAGATAAATGGGGCTAACCTTGTCAAACCAGTAATTGCTTTGATGTTCCGTATATATATATTTATATTTATATTTATATATATATATATATACATGACACTGTCTGATTCATATTTGCAGGCACAACGTTTCCATTACTTTGTTCATTCAGTAAGTGTGATATATTTATACATATATTTCTCCTCCAATATGTCATTCATTATTTATACATTGTTAACTATTAAACTATTAAAAACTTAAAGCAAAGGTCATCTAACATCTATTGAGAAAACATTTTCTGAAATGTCGCACTTTCTTATTGAAAACATGAATGTAAAATTTGGGTTAAATGTTTTGACAGGTAGTGGTCATAACATTGGCAAAACTGCGCTCCACTTCCGGGTTATCTTTTTCTTTGTGCATGTGAATAGAAGTGTTTTCTTGGTTTGTACGTGAAGTCAAGACTAGTCAGTTTGGCCAAGGTGTTTGACTTGAACGTGGCATGAACCCTCGACAAAACACGGGGTGACTCTCTTTCCAAGAGTCAGTTTTCCATCTTGTCCACCAATACTCGAGCAGCTACAGACTTTGATAGTTTACAAATTTTGAGGTATTATCGAGTATGCTCTTTCTATGAAGATGTAAGGAGTCTTACAACTCTTTCTCAAAAGTTGTCAGATGATGGTTACAACAGTCGAGGGCTCAGAAGAGCTTTTGAAAAGTTTATGTTAGCCATGTGGATAAATATATTTCCAAATTTCATGCATCAGTGTCAAATATGTCATCCGATGCCATTTAATAGTTGTTCATAAACACATACTCATAGTGTAATCAGAATCCTACTATAAACAATCTTACGAGAATTCTTATGCTTATGAAAATGCTTTCGGTTTTGTTTAACAAAATCTCTCCACTTTTGAATGTCAGTCAAAGGCTATAAAAACTGATGTATCATAGAATACAGCCTACTGTGGTCGGGAGGACCTATACAAAGTCAGAAGGTCATGGAGGTGGAGAGGGTCAGACATGAATTCCCAGAAACATGGCTGTGGATCAACAAGACCGTTGGGTAGGAAACGGCTTTGACAAACTGGTCATACGGAAATCATACGGAAATCTGCTACATTAATCCAGCACATGATAAAACTTTGTTCACCCCTGTTAGTATTTGTTTTATACATGTACGGCATTTTAAATAACAAGCCTATGCTCTCTGCATTCCAACCAAAGAAGGTTTTGAAGAACGCCCAAACACCTTTGCGTCTATTGTGGACATATACTGAGTCAAAAAAGAAACTTCACAAAATGTAATTTGAAAAATAATGAATAATTTTTCTCTGATGATACATCTTTGTATCCGAAATGGGATCCCTATCTTTCGACTCTAGAAAAACATTAGCAAAACCCACTCAAACCCATCCATTCCTT